GGCTGGCAATCATTTACGCCAAAGTTCTCCGTTGCTCCTAATGGCCTGCCAGATGGTGAGAGAGAACACGGAGCAGATCAAAAAACAACTCTAGCGTAACTTTAAGAACAAAATTCTTGAAACTTTCACTCTTGCTAAGAAATATGAGAATACAGGAACTCAAGTGACGTCTACAGAAGCACAAAAAGCAAACTACAATATTATCTAGTCATTCATGTAGATCAGTTTTTGATTGTGGCAGAAAATGAAATATTGTCGTCTTCTAAGATTCACCCATATCTGAAATGAAGAAATATAACAAAGAAAAAATTCACGTGTTACTAACAATACACTACTACTTCTTTCAGTCCAGATTAGCTAAGAAAGTTTATTTCCCTGTAATTACTGATATCTCAAAACGACAGAAATAATCACATTTCCAGTAGTCTAAACTGAATGCCATTCAGAAGACTAAATAATCTACTTGCCTACTTTACTCAAGACAATACCAAACTGTTAGAGACATTTGGAAATGCCAGACCTATACAAAGGGTTTAAACTTTGGCAACGTGTCGTCAGGTATAGCTTAAAACTGGAAATAATAATCAGTATATTAACACATAAAAAATAAATACTTGCTTCCATCTAATTGTCAAGCTTACAGCTGCCTAATACAGCAAAGCACACTAACATATACATATATTAAACTGCATCCTTATACAAAGTTCCTGAAGCATTCATGCATTTTTAGATATGTAGAAGTCACCATTGCTCCTTTAAATTCAGCAAAAGGAAAATATTTTGTATAAATATACTTAAATTGCAGAATCTGCTTAAATATTAATTCTGTTACAGCTTCAAAAGTTATGGTTGGTTTTATAGATTAAAAAAATAAAGACAACTTCAAATTATGAGATCACTGTTAGAGAAACTGTATATTTATTTATTTAGATATATTAGGATATGTGACAGGCAGATATAGATTTCTTAGATTTCAGGACAGTTTATACGTACACTAGATTTAAAAATTCAGTGCACAGCGTTTACCTAACACTGTGTCCTAAAGTCTCTTTTTTTTCACGTGATCATTCCCCTCTCCCACCAAGACAGACAGTCACTGAAATGGTCACAGAATTTCGAGTTAGGACTAACTTATAAGCAAATGAAACACTGCAACAGAATATCATGTCTCTCAAAAATGCTGAAACAAAGTAAGCGGCCAGTCCTACACCAAAACATTCTGCAAAATTTTAATTCTGTTACCGCTTTCTTATTTTAGATTTTATGTGAATTTAATACAAAAAAAAAATGCTGAATATCAAAACGCCTGGCATGAGGGAAATTCATGCTCACTACATTGCTGCAAGCAGTGCTGCTGTTCAATGAACGTGCAGTGCTGGGAAGCCTAACAGGTCTCTACCTTATTGCATGTCTCAGTTTATTGGGTGGTATGAGTCAGCAAACCATTTATGACGACTAGCCAATCTCCAAAAGTCACAGCTCCCACTAAACACTAACGAAGCTCTATCAAATCACAATCTTGCTTTCCACTGGTCTTTTCCAGATGCTCTTCAGACGCCCTTTGGTGTCTGCTAGTGAACTCTCACTACACAACTCTCATTTCTTATTCAGGTTTCTTCACATATATGACAAAACACAAAATCAAAGATATCCAGCTCTCACTGTAGACTTCAGCCTGTCCAAATGCTTCTCTCATACTTCCCAAGTCACAGTCTCTTTTATAAACCTAGGCTTCACCTATGACTACCTAGCCAAATTTCTCATTCACATTGCTCCTGAGGTCTAACAAGGTGTGTCCGAACAGAGAAAAAAACAAACACTTGACTAATGCTAATGCTTCTGCTACAGCCAAAGTTATTTCCGTAGAAACAGCCCCTTTCACCTCATTCGAAACCCACGGCCTTTTTGCAGCTCCTTCTCCATCAGAAAGGCTCATGCTTTCTTGATCACATATTCAGTCCTAGTCACAGACCTCAAAGACATCAAAAGCGGTAAGATTATAGCAGACTTTGTTAGCTGCTCCCAAAGAATCAGCACAATTACACTGCTACGTCAGGCTAATTTACAGCACTAACATTTACTACGATAAGAAGCATAAGCAACGTCACAATATACTCAACAAACACATGCGACCATTGTATTTCATCTCCCTTTGACATCACGGTTACCCAACAGTTTCTCACAACAGCTTGCTCAGAAGGGTTTTTTTGTTTTCAAGTCTTTTACATTGCAAACTACTGAAATCACGTTTACAATAGTTTTTAGGTCCATGTGGACGTAAAACTTTGGAAGGTCTGTGTGGATGATAGTAAGCTGATGAGTTCGGATAATTAGCGGTGATGACAGGGCAAACTGGTGGGAGCAGGACAAGCAGTCTGCATTTACATTTCCTTTTGAATATGAAAAGAAAAAAGCATTAGAATTCAAGAGAAAAGGTTATTTTTTTTTTTACAGAAAACAACCATGTACCACAGAGCAGTGTTCTGTTACAAAAAGGAGAATTTTGATGAGCTCCAGACAAATATAAACGTCACAAACTATATTCCTCACATTTTCATTAAAAAACAGCAAAACCAAGCAACAACGATTACAACAACAACTTTTAGGGACAAGTTCAAAAAAAGGTGAAAATGCATTATCTACAAAGAGAATTTTTTCTAAAACTTCCAATGGAGCTGAGCGTTAGTTAATCAGCCCACGGACCAAGCTTCAGTGGCAGCCAGCAAGCCTCAGCACCTTTCATGAGGGGACCTAGGGGAGAGCTGGAAGCCTGAGGAGCTAGCAATGCCCATCACTTGCTTCCTGGGAAGCCAGTTGTCCAGGGAGCTGGACAGCAGTGCTGCCAACTTCATCTAGAAGCTTCCCAAGAAACTTTTTAAGCAAGCTGTGGAAGAGTCAGGCAAGTTCAAGAGCAGAGAGCTAGCAAGAAATGCCAGCTTTCCTTCCTACTTCCTGGTGGGCTATATTTTCAAAAATATGTTTTCTCAGGAAAAAACAAATACAACTTGCAAATAAAGGTATATTTCAATGAACATCTTGAATCCGGGTTCACAGTCAATTTAAGAAATACTTTTAATTGTTCAACAAATTGATTTAGGATGTTAGGAAAAATTCTGTTTTGTTTCTTCATAACAAATTAATTTGATACTTCACGCAACACTAGTTTACAGATCATTTTACGGAATGATAGAGAAAAGTCATGCTAAGCCATCAAACCAGTTTCAAGCACGACCACACCCCACTTACACCAATGGAAAAATCAAGTTTAACATGTTAGTTTTTTTAAATGTATATGACTTTTTAAAGAAGCATAAACTATAAACTAATATACTATAGACAGCCAACACACTATAAATACCCTTGGCATAAGCTTATAATATGCTAAAGTTAAAATGAGAATCTTCCACATTTACACAATTGCTTAAAAAAAAGAATTTAAAAAAAAATTAAAAGGACCTTCATAATGTGTTCAAAAGGTTAGAGTAAAGATATTCAATAACTTGACACATTGCCCCTGCGTAAAACATGGCCAAAACCTTCCAGCAAAAAATTCTAAAAAACATGGAGAAATCAGTGACCACTGAATGAAATACGGTGCTGTGGGAAAACATGAACACATTTTCCCAGGCTGTGCTATCGAGCTTTTCAGATTATCCCATCTCAGATGTGTCACACATTCCCATGAGAAAATGGGCATTTTAAATACAGTAACAAAGAAAAATTTATAGTCTGATGACACAAACCATCCCCAAAAAAACGTGTAAAAACTTTCCCACCAAATAAAGAGACTAGTCTGTGTATTTTTGCCCAAAAAAAGTTTGCAGAACTAAATCCTACTCTTGTAAACCATGTTTTGTGGTTTACAACATCCCCAAGGTATTCTACTATGTCCAGTTATACGAGGCAATAAAAATAAATGCTTTCTTCAGTTAAACACCAAATGACTTGCACCTAAATCAGACACCTACTGAAAACAATGGTAATGTATTTCATATTCAGTGAGAAAGAAACAAAAGACACCTGACTATATACAAAAGATTAAAGAATCATAAATATGCTACAAGAGCTATGCATGGCTACATACTTATTTTGCTTGTGAATGAAAAAGGAAGGAGAAAGGGTCTTCAAGGAAAGTAGCCAAAGGAAACTGAAGCGAATGTAAAAAGCATTTCAAGGCTATATTTAGAGGAAGACATTCTTCATACGTTTGCCAAGCTATTCACGTCATTTCACACAGCATGTTTTATCCAGCTTTATAAGTCTATGAGAGAAGAGCATTATTTAAAAAAAAAAAAAAAAAAAAAAAAAAAAGGCCTGGATCGGTTGCCAGAAATGGTAATCTTGCAAGTATTTAGAGGACTGAATATTTTAAGCATGTGAATTCAAGATAACTTTCCAAAGGAAAAAAAAAGGGGGGGGGGGGTAGCTAAAACTGTCTACAGATATCACAGAAGGATTCTGCAATACAGAGCAGCAGCAACAGTAAAGTAACATGAAATGGCTTCTATTATTTCCTTTTGAGCTAAGCACCTTAACCTTAGCTGTATTATTAAAAATAGTTAAATTATTGAATTTCACTAAGTCCAAGCCTTCAGCTGGTATAAACTAACAGAAGAACTGTCTATGTTTATATCTGTAGGATATAACAGTTTATACAAGTAATTACATACTTCTCTATAATGTGGTGAACAACAATTCACAATGAATAAACAAACACCAAACATAAGCTCACAGATGAAAACAGAGACAAAAATACTCAAGTTTTGTAAGATTATTATGATCTTTCTTTAACTCCTTTAGTACATGTCACGTGGTACAGCTATCTGCACAAAGAAACGTCACCATACAGAAAATACGCCAGGACCAGGTGTAATGGTAATAGGAACAAACAACAGAAATTTCCTGTTAGCGCCCTTCTTGAAGACGGGGATGGAATCAATTTCAGTTATAGGACTGTTTTTACTCAAATCCACACAAACGACTTCTAAAAAAGTTTTTACCTTCATTCCCTTCTCCAGGTGGCTGATAAAACGAAAGCCCCAAAGATATGATGGCTGCAATTTCCAAGATTATAAGAGTCACATCCTGTAGCGCTTCCCAGACTAGCTGTAAGAATGTTTTTGGCTTCTTTGGAGGTATAAAGTTTTTCCCAAAAATAAGCTTTCTTTTTTCTAGGTCTGCAGCAGTGCCAGATAATCCTGTAAATAAAATAAATTAAAAAAAAAAATGAAGTTGCAGTGAAATAGAAAACACTCAGTTGCATCTGCATTCCTGTAAGTTATTTCTCCAAAAAGAACTGCAGCTACACAACCTATGGCATCATAACAAACAGGCAGATTTTCCACTTAAATTTTGCTTTTGCAAGATGATTTGTCCTTATGCGCTGAACAGAATTCTTAAGGAGTCAGTTTAATACTAATTCTTGTCAGTTTTAGTCGTAGAAAGTTTGTGAATTAGTACGTTAATTTTAAAAAAGATCTATAGATAGATACATACGTACATATAGGCCTATATATGTAAGCAATGACTTCTGAAAAAAGATCATAAAGCTCAAATAAATTATACCTGGGATGAAGACGGAATAGTTGACAGTAGCTTTTAATATCAGTAGAAGAAACGTATCTTGGTTCCGACCTCACGTCAATGACCTCAGAGTAAAAATCAGTAAAGCAAGCCTTGTGCTACTTTAAAGCAACTGTTCTCTCTGCATATGTACTGCCACATAATCACTGGAATGAACTGCATGAAATTTTAGTTAACTAAAAAGATAGCCACAGAGACAGGATACGTGTGCTGAGAAAGCAAAAAGGAAAGAATATTGTACCTGAAATCAATAAGCGTACGTATTTTGCATGATACCTCAATTTAAGAACATTTCAATTTAGGCATATCACGTAAGAACGTCATTGTATTTGTGCTGAATAGTTCCAGGTTTCACTTGCATGCTTTTTTCTTCTTTTAATACGTTAAGTGTGTGCATTTCTAGAACCGTTTCTAGGCAAAAAATCTCTGATAAAATAAAAGAACTGAGATTAAAATAATATGCCTGGTTACGTATATATGTCAAGTAATATGTGATATCAGTTGGAACATTTACCCGGCTGTAGTTTCTCAACGCAATCAGCAGCATAAAATTATGATCACATTTATTCACATTAACATGACACAATGAAAACAGTTAAACTGGGGGTTGACCATGGAGGACTACTAACGTGCTTGCAAGACAGCAAGACAAACAGATCCTACACTGCAAGGATTCCAGTCATTCCTCTTCTCATGTAGGTTAGGGTAATTCCTTCCCTTCTCCAAAGCACTTACCTATAGGGTACTTCCAGGAACCTAAACTCCTCTTAACAGTATCGTCAAGATGCCAAGCAAAAGAAAATAAGATCCTAATTTGCCAATGGCACTCAACTTTGTGTCTAATTCAAGATTAGTGCAACTGTTCCCAGCACTGCAGTGGAAGAATACCAATACAGAACTAACTCTTAGACGAAAGGCAACAGGCCCAAGTGTAACTTACTCAAGACCAAAGCGATGCTTGTCTGAACGTATCAATCTCACCACAGTACTGGCAAAGATGTTGACTCACCTTTCACTGAAAGTATAGAATTACAACTGTCCTGTAGCTTCTGGCTCTTGGTTAACTCATCAAACTTTCATCTCACCTTCGGCTTCTAAGAAACACTATCCTTCTCTCCCAGATAAAGGCGTGCTGTAGCTATTATTACCTCGATTTAATTTGCAGTACCTAGTGCTCGGTGAGACTATACCACACAGATTCAAGCTATTTTAAAATGTGTCTACGTCCATCTGTTTCAAAAAAAAAAAAACATCAAACTTCTCAAGCTTCATCAAACTTCCTCTCTTAGCTCCCAGTCAGCTTTCAGTGCCAGGTTAAGGCTTTGTCCCTAATAACGAATCAAACCCTAGCTATACTGAAATATGAATTTCAGACTATGAACCATTTGGATAGATGCCTTTCTTTGGAATAACGCAGAACACAGAGCTTAGGACAATGCATGTGCGAGATCAGGGGAGTCATTCACTACTGATGGGATCTGACATAGGAACAGTCCTTGAGAAGAGACCAGACAAATCCAGTTTGGTGAGCTTTCGGGAGGCTGCAAAGCCCCTGAATGTAAGAAAGGGTTTTTACTAAAAATGGCAGTCACAATTTGCACTAGTGTCCCAAAGCACGGCCTGCCCCAAATACAGCTGCAACTTCATAAGTGGGGAAATGCTCCAGATTCTTTGCAAGGCACCGACAGCATCGCTAGTGGTAGGACTTTGAGGCAGACATGTTCATATCATGCACCTACAAGCAGCAATGCAAAACTCTGAAACAGAAAGACCTCAAAGGCATATGGGAAAGGGGAGAAAGATGTCTGGAAAACGCATGTTTTCCAATACAGAGCATATGTGCACAGCAGCGGGCTAGCTCCAGCAGGAAAGCAGATGACCAGTACTCAACAGGATGAGAGGACTGTGAAATAGTAAGAGTGGCAGTCAGTACTTTTCATTAAAGATGGTTTCCAAATCCAATTGTATTTACCTAAAAACAACGAATTCAGCAATTCCCAAATCATGCTGTATACTTTACTGTCAGGAAGCACCAAAGACAGACATATCCTTTCCTATGCTGATGAACAAAATGCACACATAAATGCATCATAAGTACACAGTGAAAAGCCTCCAGAAAAAGAGGAAAGAATGATACTGGAATTCAAAGAGGAAAGGCTGCTTTTTCTCAAAGACCAAAATTGCTCATTGACACTGAAATTTAGACACCATAAGGCCGGGAACTAGACTGAGTTTAAAGCAGCTATCTTCACCATTATATTCCAGACTATAGCCTAAGTAACTTACATAGGAATTTACCTTAATACTTAATAGCGCTCTTTCATCTTTGATGACAAACTTCATCTTCCTTAAGACCTGTACGTAGGCAACGTTTTACTCTTGTGCGTGATTTCCCCTTTTTTCCCCCTAGAAGTGTGGATCAAGCTAAATTATTCACCAACTTAGAATAAATTTGAAAAATGGTTTCACCTAAAAATGAAAGCATATTCATGTTTAAGGATGAAGTGTATTTTCTTGTAAATAATTTAGAAATACTGAAAAACAAAATGTAATGTTTTCTTAAACCTAAAACGTTTTCCTTCTTCTGAGATCTGACCCTCATTCAAAAATTCCGCTAAATTTGCTATATTGGTTTTCTCCCCTGGGTGCCATAAACTAACAAGCCTGAATTTAGGAATTTGGAGAGTAAGACAGAAGAGGCAGCAAGAAATCTGAAGACCAGTTGACTAAAGTCACAACACACATCCTAAAAGCTACTGCTGAGACAAAATCAGAAAGGGACAATAGCAAGGTGTTATAACGGAAAAACACATTGAGTCATAAAAGAAATATGTAGGGAAGACAATGTTATATAGAGAAATAAGGCTAAAGGAAAGACAACTGCGAATCTGAGGTAATGCCAGAGGTTTATTTTTAAAAAGCTTCCATTAGTTAATGGCATTACTTCTCCATGCTACTGGCAGCAGCAGTTTCATGGAGACGCTTCTTATCATCCTCAAATATTCTGCTTTATTCAGACGAGTTTGATTAAACAGTCAAAAAGTGTTTTGAGCAAACCGAACTTAGCTGCTTGAAGTGGATTAGAGGTCACTCACGCTTCCTGCTGCACTGGCAGATCTGCGGGATGCTGCTTCCCAGGGCGCGCGCGCTGACAGCCAGTACAGATGGTAAGAACGTCAATTAGCACAGCGAGATCTGGAAGTGGACATCTGTCCTCACCATTACTTTTAACCGGGAGACGGCTTTCCTGCTTGTTTCATGTCTTTTTCTTTTTTTCTTTTTTTCTTGTTGGTATTACACATACTGATTTCATTACTCTTCCTGAATATGTTTTATTTTTGGCTTGTATCTTAATTTACAATTAAACAGTACCTACTCTTGTGACAATAATCACAAAACATTGCAAATGAAAGTAATTAGGAATATCATTTCTACCTGAAGAGAAGAAACATCTAGAGGAAGTGAAGAACCAGTGAGAATTTAAAACAATTAATGGAGATATCACTTGTACATGAATTCATTATTTTTATGTCATTGGCAAAAGAAGCAGCATTGTGTTGTATTCTGTATGATGGTAAGCACCAGATTGCCTTGTTTTGTGTTTGCACATTCACACAAGCATGACAGTATTTAAAAAAATCTTTTGTATGTTGAAGCTCTGCAACACTTCTTTGCTTGATCTAAGGGTTTTAGAATAATTATGCAGACTGAGATCAAATATATACACAAATAGTATGCATATGTTTAGGAAATATTGTGAAAATTTATTACTGATGCTTCTTGCATTTGAATAATTTCTTAAGATTTCAGTTTCCAAAACTTTCCCCCAAAATTTTTTTGGAGTTTGTGGGAGAAGAAAAAGTGATTACATATAAAATATTTTCTATGACGCTGTACAGTGTATTAAATGCATTTCTGCTTTCAGCTGGCATGTCTTTATATAGGGATTTTTTTATTGTTGCTTTTTTGGAGGGAAAGGCAGAGAAGACTCAAAAAAAACAAAAAAGCAGTTAACGATTTTCTCTGTTCATTTGCTACATCTCTCAGGCATGGCATGCAGATATAAAATCAATGTTTCAATTAATATTTCCTGGAAAACTGTATTTCTTTTGAAAGTCATCTCCACTGCAACCAAATGGAGCATCACAGAGGATGATTCCAAGTGCTGCAAAAATAGCAGAGGCACATCACTACTAAAGCAATAAGTTAAAAAAAAAAAACTTTACATTTGTAAAATAATGTTTCGCTTAAAAAATTAAGATGAAGAATGGAGAATTTACATTAATATAAATGCATTTTAATTAAAAGCCACTGTTATAACAAGTGTGGAAAAAGACTAATTGTGCAAATAAAAAATCACTGAACTTTCCTACTAATTATCTCATTTCCTGATATAACCAGAAAAATAGATGAAAACTGCAAGTAGCAAAAATCATAAATAACTTAATTTAAAAATCAATTTAATTTAAAAATTCTAATGCAAAAAAATTGTTCCACAAAGAAAATAAAAGCTTGGCAGTGATGCTGAACTGCTACTGAAATTAAAACATAGAGGAAAACAAATTATTTGAGATGGTAAACTCCAATGACAATTAAACATGACATAAATTTGCAA